TTCCCCGATACACTCAAAACGAACCAAGAGGCCTCCGAGACCGCCAATAGGCCCCCAAGACGCTCCAAGAAGCCCCCAAGCTCGCCATTGTCCTCCCTCCTCCTCCTCCTCCTCCTCCACCTCCTCCTCCTCCTCCTCCTCCTTTTCCTCCTTCTCTTCCTCCTCCTCCTCTTCATCCGCCTATTTCTCCCGCTCCCTCCTCCCTCCCCCCCCTCACCCACGTCCACCTCGTCCTCCTCCTCCTCCTCGTCCTCCTCCAATTTACACTCCTCCTCCTCCTCCGCCTCCTCCTCCTCTCCCGCATCCCTCTCGTCCTTCTTCCCCGCCTTTCCTCAGTCGGCAGGTCCGCGAAGGCACATACGGTTCGCTCCTAGGTCTGCGCAGGCTCATCCAAGACTCCAGTTTGGAAGCTTCCCCAGCTCTTGATCCACTGCATGCTTCTCCGCTTCCCTGATCGCCTGCCTGGGCATCGTTTGTGGCTGCGCTGGTGAAGATTGTTTTTAGTCAGCGGCCGCGGGCGAGCGCGCCGGCGGCGAGTCAGGACAAAGCGGGCTACGCAGAGACTAATTAGGCACAGGAAACGCAGGAAAAAACAAGCAGAGCAACGCGCGAGGCGACGGCTGAGCGCGGCCGAGGCCTCAGGTGGCTGGCGGAGGGACACTGTGACCGAGGAGGACGCTGATGGAGATGGGCGAAGGCGTCGAGAACCTGTCGGGAGCGGCGGCTCTCTGGGCCTGGGGGCCCGAGCCACCGCTGCCCTCCGCGGCCTCGATGTCCGCGCCCATGCCCTCCAGGATGCGCGGGGGCCACGAGACGAGCCGGGGGCGCAGGGCTCGATCGGCCCCCCGGCGCCCCCGCGGAGGCCATCGGACGCCCCCGCGCCCCCGCCGCCGGGAGCCCCCCTCGCGAGGGACAGACATCGCGGCGCAGGGCCTCCCAGACGTGCTCGCGCCGCGAGGAGAAAACAAGACGTAGGTCGGGCCTGTCCCCCTACAGGCGGATTTTGGACGAACAATAAAACGTACCAAAACCAAAATGTGAAACAATTGTCAAAAATCGTCCCCAGAATATTTCTGGGCTTTTTGAATATTCCTCCAGTAGAGGGACAGGCCCGACTTAAAACAAGACCCCGAGATCCTGGCGTCCTAACTTTTTCGAGCCGGGCGTCCTCGCCCAGATTCGGCCCCTGGGTCCTCACAAATCGATCCGGCTCGAGAAGTGGCGCAGAAGGATGTGGTCTGGGGCTCCAGCTGCGATTTTCGCGCTGCCTCAATCTTTCGAGGCGTCGGACCTCAGGGCAGAAATCAGGACGGTCAGTCTTTGGCCGTGCTCGGCCTGAGGGCACTCACCAAGCCCTGGGCCACGGCTCAGGAGCTGAGGGGGAAAAGGTGGTCCCGGGGAAAGGGTCGGGACTCCTGGGGACAGGGTACTGAACAAAACCAGGACATCGCATGTGTCTGGGCTTGGGGACTGGTCATGTTTCCTGTGGTGGGTCCAACCTCGGGATTGTCCCCTGCAGCTGCGCCTCGTCGAGGGCGTCCTGGGAGTGCCTGGATCGCCCCGTCGAGGGCGTCCTGGGAGTGCTCGTCGAATCAGCGAAGAGTACGTAGAAGATGCCCGTTGATCATTCCACGTAATTTTTGTAGATTCGACGAGCAAATCACTGCTGGGGTGAATCAATTCTGTTTTCGATCCCCTGCTCGAAGTGCTTGTCCCGACAAACAAAGACACTGCATCCCGAGCCGCCCTTTGTTCAGGCTTGTCCCGACGGAAAAAAAGCTGCATCCCAGGCCGTCTCTTCGCGGGCCCTGGGAGGCCCAGAAGCGGTTCCCCGGCGCCGAGAATTCAACCGCAGACCATGCAAGTCGTCGTCGCCGCCGTCGTCGTCGCCGCCGCCGTCGTCGTCGCCGTCGTCGTCGTCGCCTTCGGGTGACCCAAAAGGGGGTCCAGCTGAAAGGGGGTGGTGCAATAGATTTCGGGCAAGTGTATTGCAAATGTACTGCGCTAGAGAATTGTATTGTATTGCATTGCATTGCAAGTAATGTGGTGCACGCGAAAATCCAGCAATACATTTGCGCCCCGGAATGCATGCACGCCCTGAACCTATTGCCCCCCCCCACAAACCTATTGCACCAAATCTATTGCACCACCCCCTTGCCTTGTCGCTGGACCCCCTTTTGGGTCAACCCGATCGTCGCCGCCGCCGCCGCCGCCGTCGTCGTCGTCGCCGTCGCCGTCGTCGTTGTCGTCGTCGTCGTCGTCGGCGGCGGCGGCGTCGTCGGCGGCGGCGGCGTCGTCGTCGTCGCCGTCGCCGTCGTCGTCGTCGTCGTCGGCGGCGGCGGCGTCGTCGTCGTCGTCGTCGTCGTCGTCGCTGTCGTCGACGTCGTCGCCGTCGTCGGCACCTCCCGCGCTCCGACCCGCCCGAGAAGCCACGGGGCCGAAACCCGCCGCCGAGGCGCCGCCGACCGCGGGGCGCCCCTGGAGGAGGGCAACCCCCGGGGGGGGCGCCCGCCCGCGACCCCGGGAGCCCCGCCGGGGGGGGGGGCCGCCGCGGGGGCGGGGGCGGCGCAGAGGTTGCCGACCCCGAGCCGTAGGTCGGGCATGTCCCCCTCCAGGGGGATTTTGGATGGAAACAACAGCAATATGTCATACGTATTCAATAATATGCAAAACAAGTCTAAAACGAAATCGTCCCCGGACTATTTTTAAAACTATTTTGGGATATTCCTCCTGTAGAGGGACGTGCCCAACTTCACCCGAGCCCCTCGGGTCATGAAAACATCATGGCAGGACGTTTTCGTCATCTGCGATCGGGGGTCTTCTGACCCGGGTCACTGCACACCCGAGTCAGGTCAGGCTTTGCAAAATCCTGCATCCAAGCCCAAGTCTGTGCAGCCCTGGCCCTGCAAGATCCGGCGCTCTGACTGACCCCCGTTTGCATTTGCCCAAACCCAAACAATAGGAATTCGACCACAAGACAGTTTCCACAAGAAGCCCAACCCTGAGACCCCAGGACATATTTTGCTTTTTGATGTGGGAGCGTAACGTTTTCCACCGCAAAACCATCGAAACCCAGGGCACCCCGGAGACAAGCAGGGTGTTTTTGGCATGGGTTTTCTCTGGAGAACCTCGGGTAATGAAAGAACTCATGGCGGGATTTGTTGTTTTGTTATTTTCGACCTCCGGGGCCCGCTGCACCAGGCCTCGGGGCCGTCGACAAAACGACTCGGGATGAGAAACTAGCCCCAGGGAATGGGTCGAGAACTCTGGGGGTCGACGTCCCGAAAAGCTCATGACGGCGGGGGTCCAGGAGCGCAGAAGTGGGCACGAACTCGTGTCCGCGATGACGCCCGTGACCCGCCCCGCCCCCCTCCCTCCCTTGCTCCCCGTGGGTCACGTCGCGATCCGCGCCGGCGCCGACTGGGAGTTAGCAGCTCCTACAGTCAAAACGTATATTAAGGACACGTGGTTAAGGACGCAAAATCCTTGTAGGCTGAAATTGGGACTTTTTGGGCGGCGGCGACCAGTGAAAACGGCAAAGGACGGGCCACAGAGGCAAGGACGCAAGGGCATCCTAGATGAAGGCGCGCGTCCTTACTAGGCGCGTTGACTGTAGGCCCTCCGGAGAAGCGCCAGCCCCCCCCCCCCTCCCCCAACGGGTCACGCCCGTCATCGCGAGGGGTGCAAAAGCCGGTCTCCACACTGCCCAACGGCAAATGCTGCCACACACCAGCGGCGGCCGCTGTTGGGCAGGCGACTCCTTGTCTCAGGCGGAACCCGACCGCGGCGACGCCGTCAGCGAACTGCGTTCAATATTGAGCAGATGCAGCCGTCGCCCTTCGCCCCCGAATCCCACCAGCCCTCTGGGCGTAGGTGGTTCCGGGAATTTCCTCTTCCATCTTCCACTTCCCCTTCGGGGAGGGGCTTACCCCTCCCCCTAACCCCCTCCCCTGGACCTGGACGGGGGGTTCGCTGGTAGTTAGAGCGTCCAAAACGGCCTCGGCGAGGAAGCCACAATCATAGGTTTTACTAGGGTTTTGGCCCCATTTTGGCCTCTTGGGGGGGGGCAGTGCTAATTGACCCCACCCTCTTCTTTGATCGATCGCCTCCAAGATGGCCCCAAGAGGCGCCCAGGAGGCCCCAAGAGGCGCCAATATGGCCCCATCGTGGCCCCAAGAGGCCGCCATGAGGCCCCAAGAAGCCCCCAAGAGGCTCCAAGAGGCTCCCAGGATGGTTCCAAGAGGCCTCCAAGAGGCTCCAAGAGGCCGCCATGATGCTCCAAAAGACCCTCAAGAAGCCCCAAGAGGCCTCCAACAGGCCCCCAAGAGCCCCCCAAGAGGATCTCAAGCGGCCTCAAGAGGCCCCCATCGAAGCACTCAAGACGCCCAAGACCCCCCTTTGACCGCCAAGAGACCCCCAAGACGCCCGAAGAGGCTTCCAAAAGGCTTCCAAGAGGCATCCGAGCGGCATTCAACCATCCACCCAGCGTCATCATTCTCCTCATCCCTCCTTCGCTCGGTTCCTCGCCACCTTCTCATCTATCCATCTGGCATCCTCTTCCGCCTCATCCTTTGCACGGATCGGCTGTCCCTCTCGTTGCTCCCCCACTTCAATGATCTCTTCAACTTGCCTGGACATCGTTTCTGGATGGGCCGGTGGGGATATATTTCTTTAACGGCCGCAGGCGAACGCTCCGGCGGCGGGCGAAATAGGTCGGGCCGCGACAGCAATCAATTACCGACGGTTAACGCGCGCGACTAGGCGGCCGCGGCGGCGCCGGATGCAGCAAGCAGCAACTGCGGCGAGGGTGAGGCTGATCCGAAGGAGAGCTGAACCCAGGGCAGAGCTGCAAGGCCCAGGGAAACCCAGGGAGCACCAACTTAGCCAAACCTGGCACGCGCTGCCAAAATGGCGCGAAATCTGAAGAGGCGCCAGCCGAAGCGTCGCACACCGACAGATCGAGTAATGACCCCTCAAAGGTAGGTAAACCTACGCCCCAGGAGCAATCATATGCACCGTGGTCCATGCATAGCATAGCAAGACCTGAGAATACATAGCAATGCAACCGAGCAGGATGGACCACACCCAATGCCAGGGCTGGTGGGGATACGCGAAGCGTCAAGAATTCCTCGCCCCCCCATTTCGGCCTTCGAGATGAATCGGGGTGTGGGGCAGGGGCGTGATTCGATCGATGGCATGTGGAATCGCTCAACGTCGGGACTCACTGACCCGTGTCAGTGCAAACCTGGGTCAGTCAGGCTTTGCAGGATCCTGCAAACTCCTGCACCCAAGCCTGGGTCACTGCACCTCTGGCCCTGCAGGATCCTGCAAGATTGGGCGCTCTGGCTGACACCCGTTTGCAGTGACCCCCGTCTCTTGAACCCCGACAAGCTCGCCGTCGCTCGGACGTTCATTCCATGTGCATTCTTCGGTTTCGTGCGTGTTTCTGGTTGGCCCGATGGTCGAGGATGCTCCTCGAAGTCCCTCGCGGAGAACAAGAACACACGTCCGAGCGATGTCAAGACAACTTGGGCCTACCTGGTACCCAGGCTCGTCCCCCCCCGTGATGTGGTCGCACTGGGTCCTGGACACCGAGCCGATCTGGTTCACGTGGTGGCGGCGCGCGCAAGGAGCAGAGGCCCCGCACTGTCTCAGAAGGCACCCCTCCGCCTCTCCGACGCCCCACCGGCTTCGAATGCAAGAGGGCGTCCTAACTAGAGGCTGCTGGGAAACTCTCGGACACCCGGGAGTGTCTCCAAAGCCTCTGGATTCAAGAAGGGGGCAAGAACCTTGGAAGAATGTCCTCCTCGCCTTGTTGGAACAGAACCTGCTCAAGATAACCCCCGGAGCCCTCCCAGGCCTCCTCCTGGCTAGAATTAGGTCGGGCATGTCTTCATACAGGCGGATTTTGGATGAAGAATTAAAGATACCATACAAATACTCCACATGGTCCAAACATATGCAAAACATCGCCCCCTGACTATTTCGTTTTCTATTTTTGAACAGTCCTCCTGTAGCAGACAGGCCCAAGTGAAGGCTCTGATTTCGAGGCGCATCCAGCCGTGGCCGCGAGGACCCATCGGGGAGGTCGCCAGCTAGCAACAGCTTTTGAAGAGCGTCGAGCTCCAAAAGGCCGAGCCCCCCCTCCGCAGACCCCCGACGAGACGTCCTCACATGTAAAGGGGGGGCCCTGGGACACCCAAATAAATAGACACAAAAAACATGATTCCCAATATGTTCTTATAGTTTCTGGGCTTTCGTCTTCCCCCCACCACACTTCTTATACTCTCTGATATATTTCATAGAGTGGACGATTACTTCTTTCTGTGTGTTTTTTCTCCCCTCCTCGACATGGTGGGCCGCAGGATGGCCAGGTCGCCCCTGGTAGAGGAACAACAGCTGCACGACTTCACGCAAATGCTCGACAGTCCGCGCGGACTGCGTGCATCGGCGCTGGGCAGCCCCTCCCCTTCGTCTTCGACCCCCCTTCTGCGGCCACTCACGGGAGCCTCCCATACCTTCCTGTTGGCTCATGCGAATCCACGCTGATCGACGCAAGTCCACGCTACATCGAGGCTGGCCGACGTTGATCGAAGCTTCATCGGCGCTGCCTCATCGATTACCAGGCACTAGTCGACGCGAATGCAACGGGCGCCACCAGACGCTAGTCGACGCCATCTCATCTAAAGATGGACTTGCGAGGGCATACCAAAGGCCATCCTCCGGTGAGGACACGTCGAGAATCTCTGAGACCTGGCGGCTCTGGAGGATGTCTCGGGCGCCGCGGTCCTCTCAGAGCAATCTGGAACGCCCTCTGGAACGGACTCATCCTCGCCCTGGTCCTGTCCGAAAGCCACCCCCCCTGGCGCGCCGCCCGATGTGTCGGGCCGGGTGAAAGGGGGGGATAGCCGAGGGGGGGCTTGAGAACCAGCTCACGTATGGCTGGTTTTCCCCGCGCCTCCTGGCGCCGGAGGCGGCTGTGTATCGAGGAAGGGGCCCAGCGGCGGGGCCGAAACCAAACCAGCTGCATGCAGCAAATTCCGTAACCCCTCCCTTTCCCTATCCCCCTCCTTTTCTGGACACCCGAAATCGGTACGGCAAAAATGGATACAATACCCAACAGCAAATGTTGTCCCAAACCAACAACGGCTGCTGTTGAGCAGGCGGCCTTCTGTCTCGAATGGACACAGGCCGCGGTGGCACCGACAGCGAGCCCTGTCCAAAATGAACAGGAACTGCTGTTGGGCATTGTACCCATCCTTTCCGTACCCATATCGGGCGTCCAGACCTTTCGTCCGGCCCGAATGTGGCACGCCTCGGCGAACTGGTCCCGCCGGGCCCGCAGAGACTCCGCGCGCACGGCGCTCCCCGCCGCCGCCGACCGCAGCACGTCCGCGGCCGAGGCCGCGGCCCCGCGGTGGCCGGGGGAGTCCGCCGCCCGCGCCGTGTGGCGCGGCGCCGCCGCCGTGGCCGCCGCCGTGGCCGCCGCCGCCGCGGCGTCGTCGCAGTCGCTGTGACGCCGTGGCCGCCGCCGTGGCCGCCGTTGCACCAACTCTGTTGCACCAAATCTGCTGCACCACCCCCCCGTCGCTGGACGCTGCTGGGTCCACCCGATCGCCGTCGTCGTCGTCGTCGCCGTCGTCGCTGCCGTCGTCTGCACCACCGCCGCAGGCCACTGGTCGGTTTTGGACCGGAGAGGATGGACCGGGGAGGATGGACCGGGGAAGCTGGAGCGGGGCCAGGCCCACCGGGCCAGGCCCCGCTGGCGACCCGCTCCCGGGGTCCGGGTGCTCCCTGCGAGCGGGCGGAAGAAGCGGGGCCACCCGAGGTGCGCTCGCCTGCTGCTGCCTCTACTTCCCCCCTCTCCTCCTGCACGTTGGCGTCCTCGTCCTCCTCCTCCTCCTCCTCGTCGTCCTCGTCTCCTCCTCCTTCTCCTCCTCCTCCTCCTTCCTCCTCCTCCTCCTCCTCCTCCTCCTCTCCTCCTCCTCCTCCTCCTCCTCCTCCTCCTCCTCCTCCTCCTCCTCCTCCTCCTCCTCCTCCTCCTCATCCTCCTTTGGACCTGCCTAGCCGAGGGCTCTGTCTTGGCAGACGCTGGTGGTAATTTTCCTGCCGAGGCTCGAGGGGAGTTCCCCAGAGACACAGGAAGGTGCCGGGTGGGTCAAGCCACCTCTGTCGATCGTCGCTGTGCCCGCCGCGGAGCAAGTGGGTGGCAATGGCCGGGGGGGGGGTGTTTCTGCAGCCCGGGTGGAAAATCAAGACACGAGGCCTGGACAGGGACAAGGTCGGGCAGGGACAAATCGGAGACCTCTGAGTTGGCCGCCGTGACCATTCCAGAGCGCTTCAGGAAGCTCCGAAAGCATTCCAGAACGCTCTAAAGCGGATTGATGAAAAGGGGGCCAGGGACACACAAATAAATACACACTAATCAAAGGATTCCCACTATTTTTCAATATTTGTTGGATTTTTGTCTCCCCCCTACTTCCCATAGTTTCCCATCTTTTCGAGGAAATCGACAATTAATTGTGAAGTGTGTCTGTGCGTTTGTATTTTCCTCCTGACTTTACTCCTACCCTAGACCCACCCGACTGAGCTCCGACCCTTTCCCCGAGACGGGCTTCTCATCCCGAGCCGTCTCCGGCGGCCCAGCGAACCACGGCACGGCCCTCAGAGCCGCCTGCTCTGGCGCAGCCGCTGAGGGGCAACGACAGGAGGGTACCGACACAGGGGGGAAACATCGACCTAGAATTGGGTCGGGCATCTCCCCCTACAGGTGGAGCTTGAGCGACAGATGAGAAATACACCAAACATCCTTACACATTGCCGAACAACACTCAGAAATCGTCCCCCGACGATCTTTCAAGTATTTTTGAAGACTCCTCCTGTAGAAGGACACGCCCGACTTCAACCTCATCGGGGATTAGGGGTCGATGCACCCCCCCTATGCCTATCAACCCCCCTCTCGTTGCCCCTGAACCGCGCGCCCGAGCTGTTCTCTCGCTCTCTCTCTCTCTCTCTCTCTCACTCTCTCTATCACTCTGCGTGGCAATTTTGGTTGTAACGTCGGCCCCTGGGGATCTCGACCATTCCACCAGAGGAACAAAGCAATGCGTAAACGTTCATGGATCGGCGTAGTTCGGGGAAGTGCCACTCGGAAGGTCCGTGCGAATGTCTTGGATCGGCGCCAGACACCATCCCTGGCGCGCGGAGCGCGCCAGAGCCGGCGCCGAAGGCGCCGCGAGTGGGGCCCATCGCAGATCCCCGAAATCCTCGTGGAGCCCCGAAAATTTACGCTTGCGCGGTTCAGGTCCCTCGATGGTCCCTGGGGGTCGGCGAGGCATCCCGAGTCGTTTTCTGCCGGTCCCTGGGCTGCTGGGAAATGGCCTCCTCACCGCGCGGCCGCTGGAGCTCTTCGACCCCGTCCGCTCGACCAGCCCTTCTCGGAGGTGACCCAGATCAGCGCAAACCCGGCTCAGTCGATGCTCAAAGAACGGCTCTGCAGCTTCTTGCGGGGCTTCCCAAACCCGGCTCGGCCAGTGCGTAAGGCCGCGAGCGGCTCGAAAACCCAGCTCAGCCAAGCTCTGGCTTTGCGCAGGATCCGGCGTGCTGGCGGAGCCCCGATATCGTGAACCCCGATCACTGATCACTAACGCGGGCATCGCTCCCTGCTGGTCCTTGGGGAGGGGGCCCAGAACCGGGCGATCGACATCGGGGGCCAAGGCTGCGAGCAGGACGCTCGTGCTGGTCGTCTGCTTCTTCCGCGACGCCCAGAGAGGTGGACCCACAGGCCAGGCATACATGCCACATGCACGACATCTCCACCAAAGGTGTATATGCTGTGCATATGTGCACACACACGTACATGTTATATACATATACATGCGTACATATACATAATTTGCGAGTACACTAAAATGTATGTAAGTGAATGATGTGTGCGCGAAGGTGTCGCAATCAGAAGCAACAACTAGCATAACAAGCAAACGAACAAACAACCGTCAGCAACGCAGAGCGGCCGAGGGTGCGGCGCGGCAGCGCGACCACATAGCGGGTACGGCTGCGCCCTTGGAGCAGACCACTGGACGCCGCTGGGCCGAGGCCGGGACTTGTTATCCCGATCGCCCCAGACTGCGAGGATCGGGGCTGAGGCTCGAGCTCTGGCAGCCTCTGGGCTGCATTCCCTGGGCCTCCTCGTCGCCGCGAGTGGACCCGACTCGAGCTCCCTGGCCAGAGCGCTCGGAGAGGCACGGGGTGGTCTGTTCTGAGGCCCATCTGCCAGACACTCCCTCGCGCCATGACACGAAACACGATGCGAGGTTTCTGGCAACTCTCTTTGCTCTCGGGGGGGGCCCTTGCCAGAACCCCGTGAACCGCCACCAAAACGGCCCAGGGCGAAAAAGACCGGCCCTGGGAGAGGGGATCCCAGACCTCCTCTGGGCCCACGCTCTGAACACGTGAAGGCGTCGGGCGTCTGCTCCCCAGGACCTCGGGAGCCAGGGGACGCAGAGGGGGATTGGGGGGGGGATTGGGGGGGGATCGGGGGGATGGGGGGGGATTGGGGGGGAAGCAGAGGGGATTGGGGGGGGATTGGGAGGGGGGGGGGGATTTGGTGGGGGGAATGGGGGAGGGGGATGGGGGGGGGATTGAGGGGGAAGCCAAGCTTCCACAGGGGGGGATTGGAAAGGGGGGGAAGCAGAGGGGGAAGGCCAGCACCCCTGGCCGCCGGGGGCGGCCGTGCAAAGCGCCCGCCAGCGGGGCCAAAATCGGCTGCACACGGCACTTCTCCGGACCCGCCCCGCCCCTCATCTCATCCCCCTCTCTATCGAGGGCAGAGCATCCACCCCTCAAAGAACCACCCCGGCACGCGAAGCCCTGTAGTATAAACGCGCACGAAGAAGGAAGCAAACAGGGCAGTGCCGGGCCGTGTAGTACACGCCGATTGTCCGGTCTGGGTGTTTTTTCCCCCCTTGACTCTCGGCCGACTCGGGCGGGTGGCAGTGGAGAGTGACCCAAATGGGGCGTGAAGGAAAGGGCCCTGAAGGAGCCCTTTAGGGTCCCTGGCTGGCTCCTTGTTTCCTCAGGGGCCCAGTGGATACGAATAGTAGAGGGTCCAAACATCATGTGCTATCTCAAGTTGTTGGATGCCTGTGGCCTCTTGGTGGCATCCTCGGGAGGCGTCTTGGGGCGGTCATGGGGCCCCTCGGAGGCCTCATGGATGCTATCCTGAGCATCGTCCATTGATCTTGTGCGGTGTTGGAGGCCCTGTTGGGCGGTCTGGGAGCCATCTCGGAGCCCTCCTGGACGCTCTGGCTGCCGCGCCCGACCGACACGGCTTCTGGGCCCCGCGCCTCCGGGGGGGGCCCGCAGATGCCCGCGCCCGCCGCCTCCCGCCGAGGATATCCTCGCAACGCCTGCCAGCGCCAGCGTATGTTCCTCCCGGCCTCGCCCTGAGTCTGCGCTCTCCCCCCCTTTCCTCCCCCTCTGCGGCTACTTCAAGCTTCGCGCGGCCCGCTTAGCTTCGACCGGAGGAGGTGCGCTCTCGACCCGCGGATCAAAAAAGTGTGCTCGTCCGCCGAAGCGCTTCGACACGACAGCACGAAGCAGGGAGCCGAACGAGGGCCACCGGCACAGCAAATGCTGCGCGCCTATCGGGGCTGAGCGAGGCAGGCCAGCCTCGGGCGGGTCGGGTCATGGTAGGCCCCGAGGGCCATCGATCCTGGAAGGTGGGGAAATCGAATCCCACTGCGGCGGATCTGCACAAGGCCCGGCCTCGGAGCTGGGCCGATTAGCAGAATGTGGAGGAGGAGGAGGAGGAGGAGGATGGGCCTGTTTTCCACCACCACCGCCATACGTTGGATGGGGGGAAGGAGGAGGAGGAGGAGTAGGAGGAGGAGGAGGAGGAGGAGGAGGAGGAGGAGGAGGAGGAGGAGGGGGAGGGGAGGAAAGGAGGAGGAGGAGGAGGACGACGAACAGGAGGAGGAGGAGGAGGAGGAGGAGGAGGAGGAGGAGGAAGAGGAGGAGGAGGAGGAGGAGGAGGAGGAGGAGGAGGAGGAGGTGGAGGTGGAGGAGGACCCCCTCCCCCTCCAACTCCTGGTGGTGGTGGTGGCAAACGGGCCCACCAGAGGAGGCGCCACCGGCCGCCCGGCGGCGGCGCCATCTGCTCTGCAGGGCCCGCGGCTCTGCTCCGAGCCCCGCCGCGGATGGGCCGGCCCGGCTCCTACATTCGGCGCGGCCTGGGGCCCAGCTGGCTCGGACCCGCCCCTTTCCGACCTCGCGGCTCTTCTGCCCGCGACGTGGGCCCACGGAGCGCCGACCCTTCCTCGGCTCGGAGGAGGCGGAGGCGGAGGGCCCGGACCCCCGACGTAGGGATCTTTTCATTAGGCGTCGACACCCAGAGCTCCCGACCCAGTCCCCGTGACCGGCTTTGCGTCCTGAGCCATTTTTGTTGACGCTCCCAAGGCCAGGCCCGGTGAGGGCCCCGGGAGGCTGAAAATTAAGAAACACCTTCCGTCATGAGTTTTTCACTGAGGAGGCAGAGGAGGCGGAGGAGGCGGAGGAGGAGGAGGAGGAGGAGGAGGAGGAGGAGGAGTGGGCTAGCGTTTCGTCCCGAACCCTTCTCCGACGGGCGATGCAACCGCCGCGATGGCTTCTGCGACGCCCAGGCCGAAGAGAGGCAGCCGAGCCCAGACATCCGACGACGACGTCGTGATCGTCGCCGCAGCGTCTCCCCAGAGGTCCATGGGCCCCTTCCCATAGAGGCCTCCCAGATGGGGTCGGAGTAGTGGGGTCGGAGGACCGCGCCGCATCGCCGTACATCGGCGAGACATCGGCGATGCATCGGCGATGCACAGGTGATGAGGCGTCGACGTCGGCGATGTACTCGGCGAAGACGGCGTGGAGAAAATCGGGCTCCGCATCGAGCCGCATCGTCGATGCATCGGCGATGCGGCGCGATCCTCTGACCCCGTCTACTCCATCCCAGGGACCGGCTTCTCAGCCCAAGTCGACCCAAATCAACCCAAGGGCTCCTAGCGGAAATGGAAAGATTTGGCGAGAATGTCCCGTCGATTTTAGTGGCCGGCTGGGTTCCCGTCTTCCCGGGTTCCTGCTTATTGGTTCCGGGCCGATTTCGGTGGGTTCCCGGGTTCCCGGTCGATCTCCTGTATCGATGACCATCCACTGATTGGGGTTTTTCTCTGGTGTAATTTTGTTTGACTGTCCTGGGGCCCAGTGAAGGCCCCCTGGAGGCCTGACATCATGAAGACCGCTCAGCCGAGACGAAATGTTGGTCGGACCTCGAGCTGCCCAGGGCCATCAAACACGACTCGGGTGGAAAAGCTGGTCCCCAGAGAAGGGGTCGACACCTCCGGGGAGCCACGTTGTCAAAAAGTCACCACGTCGTCTCTCTCCCTCGCTCTGGCATCGTCGGGCTCGATCCGACTCAACTTTGGCCTGGTCCTTGGCCTAACGTCTAAGGCCCTCCTAGAGGCCGAAACATTGGAGAAACAACTCGCAATCCGTCGCGCTTCTTTGTGCCAGGGTGGATGTCCGGCAGGGAGGAGGAGGGAGGAGGAGGACTGGTCGCCTAAGCCCTTCTGAGAAACCCTCCGCCCCTGGACCCTCCGCGCCCGACCGTGGCCGTGAGAGCCTCCCAGAAGCGCCCTCATAAACGACGGCCGTCGTCGAGGGATGCTGCCCACCTCCACCGCGACGCTTCGATGCTGTCCGACGCGTGGGCCCCAGGACCTCTCGACCCCTTCCCCGGCTCTTAGAATCCCGAGCTGCACCGTGGAGGAAGCTCAGTCGGGCTGCCAGCTGCCGCAGGACTTCTGGCCGTGCGAGCGTGAGAGAAAAGGAGGACGATGAGAAGGCGGAGGAAGATGGGGGAAGAGTGGAGGCGAGCCCTCCCCCCGCGTCACGCGGCGCCGCGCCTTCTTATCTGGCCGCGGTCGGTCCGCACGACCGCGGGGCATCGGCTCAGCCGGGCAGGCCGGGTGCGAGGGCGCTGGCGACCGTCTCGCAGGCCAGGGCGCTGCTGAGCAGCCGGCCGCCCGGCAAGACCGCGTCCACCCCGCCAGGAGTCCTGGGGCCCAGCCTGCCCGCCCGATGCTCCGCCGCCAGCTGGCCGTAGACGTCCGTCAGGAGAGCGGAGGGACCGGCCCCGACCCTGCAGCGCTCGGCCCCACCGAGGGTCAGGAAGCGCATCGAGTCGCCGTCGGGCGATGCCTGCAGGAGCAGCGCTGGATGCAGGTGCGCCGCGTAGGTGAGGCCCCCCGCCAGCGCCGGGAGGTCGCACTGACCGTAACCGTTCCCGCCGCAGGCCACGGCGCTGCCGTCGCTCCTGAGCAGGGCCGTGTGGTCGTTTCCAGCCGCAACCTGCGTGTAGGTCAGGCCCCCCGCCAGCGCCGGGAGGTCGCACTGACCTTCATAATTCCGGCCGCAGGCCACGGCGCTGCCGTCGCTCCTGAGCATGGCCGTGTGGACGCCTCCAGCCGCAACCTGCGTGTAGGTCAGGCCCCCCGCCAGCGCCGGGAGGTCGCACTGACCTTCATCATTCTGGCCGCAGGCCACGGCGCTGCCGTCGCTCCTGAGCAGGGCCGTGTGGACGAGTCCAGCCGCAACCTGCGTGTAGGTCAGGCCCCCCGCCAGCGCCGGGAGGTCGCACTGACCTTCATCATTCTGGCCGCAGGCCACGGCGCTGCCGTCGCTCCTGAGCAGGGCCGTGTGGACGAGTCCAGCCGCAACCTGCGTGTAGGTCAGGCCCCCCGCCAGCGCCGGGAGGTCGCACTGACCTTCATCATTCTGGCCGCAGGCCACGGCGCTGCCGTCGCTCCTGAGCAGGGCCGTGTGGACGAGTCCAGCCGCAACCTGCGTGTAGGTCAGGCCCCCCGCCAGCGCCGGGAGGTCGCACTGACCTTCATCATTCTGGCCGCAGGCCACGGCGCTGCCGTCGCTCCTGAGCAGGGCCGTGTGGACGAGTCCAGCCGCAACCTGCGTGTAGGTCAGGCCCCCCGCCAGCGCCGGGAGGTCGCACTGACCTTCATCATTCTGGCCGCAGGCCACGGCGCTGCCGTCGCTCCTGAGCAGAACCGTGTGGGCGCCTCCAGCGGCGAACATTTGCCGGAGGCCGGACGGGGGCAGCACGACGAGGTCGAGGTGAGGCGCAGGGGCTCGGCGCGCGGGGGTCGCGGCTCGAGCCAGGACTCGTCAACGGCGCGGCGAAGTGGCGGGAGGTCGAGGCCTGCTCGCCCGCGCGTTTCCAGCCCCCCACCCCCCCTCCAAAACCTGGTCGCAGGACCCCTGACGCTTTCACCCAAGGGGGGGGGCGACCACCCAGTCTCTGCGATTGACGTTTCACTCAGCCTGGGCGGCTAAAGTTTCACTCACAGGGGAGAGGGAGGAGGGGGGTAAGGAGAAGGAAGTGACGCTGCAGATGAATGGCTGTTTCCAAAGCCTCGAATCCCAAACATGTCATACCTTTTGGGGGCGACGCTTTCATTTCCGCTGGCTTCCTCGAACGGAAGTTGCCTCGTTTTCCTTCCGCTGGCTTCCGCGAACCGCTTTCCGCCCAGCAAGACGTGTCAACGCCTTCGACCCGCTCAAGAAATGCCCTGTTTGGAGCGCCACACATGTGTATCTTTCCCCCTCTCGGGCACCATCTGCAGCAGACCGTCGCTCAGCAGACCCAACATGTCCTCTTCGCGTGCTGGGTCGGAGTATGAATCTTCTCTCAGCCTCTGGTAAATGAAACCGCCTGGATACCATCCCCCTGCCCCGAGATGGCCCTAGAATCCGCCAGCGGACCCCAAGAAGTGCCCAACAACTCCCCCCCAGAGGGCAGAGGTACCCAAGAAGCCCTCAGAAGGCCGCCAAGAGACCTCCAAGATGCCCTGAAGCGTTCCCAAAGAAGCCTCCAACGTGCCCACACGACTCTTCCCGAAAGACCCCAGTAAGCTTCTTAACCACGACACAGGCGCGGATGTGGGATGGGCCAAAGACATTCGGTAGCGGCTGATTGATTTGCTTAACCGCATGCCGATGATAATAAAGGGACCCCCCCTTCAGTGTTTAGAGTTGATTATCGTCGCCCTATACAAAATTCGAATTGGGCGGCGAGCGCTGAGGCCGAACTTCATTATCACCTCGAAACGCTATGTTGAGATAGCAACATCAAGCGATGTTGATATAGCAACATCAAGCGAAGCGATCACACTTTTTCAGGATGTGTCAAGCGAAACCAATAATTTTGGGAGGCAGACTCAAACGAAACGAGCAATGTTCTTATTATTATTCTACTTTCCTCTTCTTCTTTTATATTTCTATCTGTCCTCACGCTCGCCTGAACTTTTTTATCCCTGGGGTTGATTATCCATGGAAAATGAAGCACATGAGCTACCCTACACGAGCACTTAAAAAAATCATGTTCATAAAGCGTTTGTAAATTAAAATTGATAGATTTGGAACTTTGGATTTTCCTTTCTTCGTCCTCTTCTTTTTCTCCTCTTCTTCTTCTTTCTTATTATTCTTCTACTGTATTCTTCTTCTTTTATATTTCTCTCTGTCCCCACGCTCGCCTGAACTTTTTTATCTCTGGGGTTGATTATCCATGGAAATTGAGGCACATGAGCTACCCTACACGAGCACTTACAACAAACAATTTTCATGAGAGATAAGCCATTGTTGAGGATATTTCTATGAAAACTAAACGCCAAGGATGTCTCAAAACGTGCTCGGCTTGGTCTCCTCTTGATCATCTCTTACTTCGAGATTATGCTGAGGTCTGCTGGGCTACTTTTATTATCTCTCCCTGAACCCCGAACTTTATTATCCCCTAGTGTTTATTCTCACGGGCATGAGGTTAATTTGGTTTGCAATGCTTTGTGTTGCATTGCTTTCCTATGATGTGCGCTTGCAATGCTGAATTATGTTGTGATATGATGTGCGAACTGCTCCGTGGTGATGTGCCTTGCTGCGCCTGGATGTTGCGCACCGCAATGCGTAAATATGATATGCGTTGCTGTGCATTGAATTGCCAAAAAGCTGATAGGATGTTTCGTGTAACGCTAAGCTGTGCTGTGATACGCTACGTCTCGCTACGCGATGTGCGTGGATACCCTGTGCTACGAATTGATCAGCGATAGGCCCACGATGGTGACGCATCCGCACGCTGCTGGTCGAGGTGGGCCATCGGGCCCCTCTCGACGATCAGTGGGCGAATGGGGACGAGATCGATCCGCCCCCCGCCCCTGAGACTGCCCCGCCCCCTAACGGTGCCCCTG